CCCCTGCCCGCGGCAACACACGGCACGGGCTAGGTTGTTCGAATGAAAGCTCCTAATTCAAACTACCACTATTCCTCATTGCTAAGCTGCCAATCATTCCCCTGATCTCCAAGCTTAGCAGCTCGGTTTCAAGGGCAGGATTTTGTTAGGTTCTAACACGATTGAAGGGCTGAATCTGGCACAGGCATGATGCTCTCCTGCCACCAGAGCCAACCCTAGGCGGGGGCAGGACGTGGCACCCCAGGCCTGCCCTAACCCGGCTGCTGCCGCCCTGTGGACACCCCACCACTTGGTCCACAGTCGGTGTTTGCTCAAGTGTCTCTTCTGGGATGCTTGCGGCTTGCCATCCTCAAGGCGCCTTTCTCCTGAGCTATTCCCAGGACTTTCTGTACGTGGGCTCGGGTGCGCGGGGGCTCTGAGCATGCCCATTGTTGGAGGTGGGCGTGTCCAGTGTTGGCCCCACCCCTTTGCCAAGGAACCACTAAGCCTTGAAGCAGCATTCACACTGCTGAAAACTGGCAGCACAACGATGTTCTGCTTTTATCCCCCCCACCCAGCAAACCAGTCTACTTTGCATCTTGCTCTAGGTTCCCCGGGTTTGTTTCCCTCTGAAACAAAGGGCTGCTCCAGTCTTGATTTTTTTGCTGCTTCGTGGGTTCTCCCTCTGTCATAGAAGGGTCGTTTTCCTGACCGGTCAGGGCGCCGTGGGCATGGCTAGCTGAGTTCTGGCGACTTTGGCCGTGGCGCCTGGAGGGCTCTAGCCAAACAGGTCCAGCGTGTGGAATTTGCAGCTGCAATTGTTTTGAAAGCCAGCTGCCACTCCTGGGGATTTTTTTTTTTTAACTTGAAAGAATAAACCTAAGGAATTCCATGCCAAAGAACAGCAAAGCCACCCAGCCAAGCTCTTACAATTCAGAAAACACTTAGAAGAGCAGCCCAGCGCCTCCAAGCTGTTTGGGTATTTGAAATCAATACGAATTAGGAGACAAACTATCTGGATCTGGGCCGGGCTGTCGAACTCTAATACCACCTCTTTGTATATGCGCTGGGCGTAGGATGCGGTATTTAACGACAGGGTCGCACCCTGGTTCGCTGATGATCCGGGATAAGAACCCACCATTTTTATTGCCACGTGGGTGGCATCTTGCGGTACTGGGATCTGCTCTCGGGCCAGAAAACAGACCCCCATAAGAATCATTTGCAGGGAAAGTATTCGGCACTTAGACAACGCAGTACAGCGGAAGCATAAACCACAGGGCGTAGCAGTGAAAAGGTATCTGCGTTAATAGAGGTGGAGAGTGAACGCCAAGCTTTTCAAAGAGACTCGTGATGTTGGGGGCCCAACACAAGACTGCCCAGGGGTGCCTCATTTTCAGAATATGGGTACTCAACACTTCCTGGACTGAACTGAAAGTCAGGCAATCGGGGTTTGACCCCCCCTAGATCGGTCACAGTGTCCCTGGGTGACCTTTGGTAAGTTACTTAATCTCTCTGTGCCTCAACTCCCCAGCTGTCTAATGAGCATGACAGCACTGCCTTTGGCTGTCTTGTCTATGGGGTGTAAGCAGGCAAGGCCTGGCTCTTACTGCGTGTACTGCCTTGTCTAGTGTGGGGAACACTGATACTCTGAGGTTATGTCTACACTGGCATGATTTTGCACAAGAACTTTTTTGCGGAAGAGTTCTTGTGCAAAAACTCTTCCAGAAGAGAGCGTCCACACTGGCATGTGCCTTTGCACAAGAGATGTGCTTTTGCGCAGCGCATCCATGCCAGTGTAGACACTCTCTTGCACAAGAAAGCTCTGATGGCCATTTTAACCATCGGGCTTTCTTGCGCAAGAAATTCATGTTGCCTGTCTACACTGGCCTCTTGTGCTAGAACACTTGTGCAACAGGGCTTATTCCTGAGCGGGAGCATCACAGTTCTTGCACAAGAAGCATGGATTTCACACGTTAGAACGTCACTGTTCTTGCGCAAGAACTCGCGGCCAGTGGAGACAGGCAGCAAGTTTTTGCACATAAGCGGCTGCTTTTGTGCAAGATCGCACCAATGTAGACACGGCCTGAGTCAGCTGGGGGCAGATGGACACGGTGCCACTGGAATAATGGAGCTCTGCAGTTCAGGCTTACGGCCGTGCAGGGGAGTGCGCAGAAGAAGAACGGGTCATTCTGCGTGTTGCCTTTTCTGTCCATAACTGGAAATTAAATCTCCGGGGGCAGGCACTCGGCAGCCTGTATTCCGCACAGCTCGAGGCTGTGGGCACCCAAGCACAGAGCGTGTGAAGGAGAGCCGCTGTTTTTCTGGCCTGGCTTCTCTCCCCTTGGCCGCTGAAAGAGAAGAGTGACCCGAAAAATGGACTGTAACCGCGGCGACGGAGTCTGTGCACCCACGCCGGCGGGGGAAGGAAGAGGCAGGTGGTCGGGCCGGGTCTGGAGGCAAGGCGGCACAGAGACGAAGAAACTCAGATCACAAAGGTTGCCATTTTGCTCTGCAGGCGACCCAGCGGTGGAGGCGGGTACGTGCCAGAGAACACGGCGTGCCGGCAGGCCGGGGTTATCCTAGCAGCGGTGGCAAACGGAGCTTCTGCCGCCGGGCAGCTCCCACCTTTCTGCACACCTGGGGGGGCGCCAGCCAGGAGTTGGGGTACAGGGAGCGAGTGGTGTTGATGCTTCACTCAGCAAACATGGGGCAGGCGTCCGGCTGGCGGGGCAATGACGGGCCAGGCGGGAAGGGCCTCCCCCACCCAGACAAATCAGTCGGGGGCTGCACACAAGTGAGAAGCAAAATAAAAACCCCTCAGTGACACGGAGCCCCAACTCAGAAGGGGAAAGACGCTCCCCACTTTCCCCTTGCACACCAGAGCCTAGGGGGGCCCAGCTCTGTGGTGGGGCAGCAGGGGGGCTGGAGGCCCAGCACAGGCCCCCCAATGCAGGGGGAAGGGGAGCTGAACCTGTGATGCCAGCAGGCTCCGGCTGTCCTACGGTGCTGCCTCTATTCCCCAACCCCTCCCGCTTTTCACAGAATCCCCGGGCTGGAAGAGACCTCCGGAGTCACCGAGTCCAGCTCCCTGCTCTAGGCAGGACCAACCCCAACTCAATCATCCCAGCCAGGGCTTGGTCAAGCTGGGACTTAAAACCCTCTAGGGATGGAGACCCCACCACCTCCCTCGGGAACCCCTCCCAGTGCTTCCCCACCCTCCTAGGGACATAGTGTTTCCTAATATCCAAGCTAGACCTCCCCCACTGCAACACCCCCACAGTCCTGGGGTTTACAAAGCTGTTTATAATGCTCCTGCCTTGACATGGCTGAGACCTTTGAAACCAGTGACCTGCGCTCTGCTCCAGCCCTTCTCCCGCGATGCAAAGGGGCCACAGTGCTGGTCAAAGAGCCCTAAGATCCCTCCGGTTTGGGGGAATCCACGGGTGCAGTGTAGCTGGCGCAACTGGTGGCACAGCAGCCCTCCTGCAGCCCTGAGCATGGGGGCGTGGCCGGAAAAAGCACAGTGAGCAAGTCACGCTGCGCTCCCCAGCATCCCTTATCAAGTGGATACAACAGCTGAGACTTACACCGGCCCCCAGGCTGCGCTGAATTATGCCCACCTCTGGCTGTTCCCCGATTCTGGGCACAGCAAAGCTTGGCCAAAGCTGAGGATTGGCATCTCGCTACAGGTGTTGCTGGCTGCAGGGGACCACACATGGGGCCGGGGGCTTCATTTAACAGTGAGAAACGAACATCCGAGGGGATTCCTGATGGGTGGGAGGCCAGATGCACAGATATGAGGGCTATAAATAGACTTCAAACAAAAAGACAACTACAGAGAGGAGGGAAAAAAACCGAAGAAACGGCTCCGAAGAAAAGGAGCCATGGCAACCGTGCCAGAAATAGGCTGGGAACTTTTGTTACACATGTGGCTGGACATGCCCAGATCTCTGCAATCTCACACCTTCCACTCAACCCCCTCGGATTTCATAGCCACATCTGCCCACTCAGAACCATCCATCCCGATCTACCACCGCCTCCCCCCAGATGTGAACCCTAATTCACATCCACCCCAGCCCACTGGTATATCTTTCTCTGCCTAGGCACACCCAACCCCTGTGCCACCGTGCTTCCAGAACCGCAGCTCCCCTCTGCACCCCACCTGCACACACCTGTCCCAAGGGATCTGTCCCCACACACGCGGGGCATCTCCGCGCACCCCCCCGCAAACTGCGGCTTCGTTCAAAAAGACACGACCCGAGGCGACCGTGTTTTGAGCTTGGTTTTGTTTTGCTCCAAAAGGCAATCGTTTAAAAAATATATTCAACCGGATACATTTGACTAAGGCGGAACACGGCTGGCAAAACCAGCCCGAACTGAAGCCCCTCCCCCCCATAAATACATTTAAAAAAACAACAACCCAACAACCAATGAAATAAATAAAAACCGGCTGGGAGAAGCTACCCCCCGAGCTCCGCCTGTGACACTAACATCCGCTGTGTCCGTCCCCGTGCCGCAGGCTGATGGCGGAACGTCTTGGCTCAATGACCGAGGTGCGGTTTGACGGTGCCGTGACGCAAGAGGGTGGCGTGCTCCCACTTCCACATAGGAATGGGGGGGTCGAGTGGGAATGTGGACCCCCCCCTGCACTCAGCTGTCTTCTCCCCCAGTGTCAGAAGCAAGAGGCAGGGGCTACGGCGACTTAGAAAGCGCCCCGGAGATGCAGAGGTGTGGGTAGAAACAGCTGTTAAAAAGGATACAAAAGTGCCTGCGCTGAGCGAAGCCGCGGCGGGTTCCCACAGGGCCGCTGGGAGAGACGCCCTCGGAGCAGTTCTGGGCCTGCGGGGTGTCTCAGGTCTTGCTCCCCGGCTCTGGGTGGCTGAGCTCTCAGGCCAGCAGCCAAGGTCCCAGGTGGAGGTACCATCTCCTCTCTTAGCAGCCTCCTCCCACCAGCTTTCACCCCCACCCGGGCCTGTTCCCAGGTGAAATCACCCGTGGATTTTCCTGGCTGGTCACACTTGTCAACACAAGCCACAATGAGGTGAGCCCCCGGCCGCCCTAGGCCTGGCGCCCCTCTCTGACCAAGCTGCCCCGCAGTCTCTTGCCACGGCCCGGGCGTCTCCTCGCATCCTTCCCGTGCTGCCGTCTCTGGGGCTGCTCCCCCGGCTGGCGCTCCGGCAAGGCCTTTGGAAGTCTGCGCTCGCCGTCCCCCTCTCCCGTTGCGTCAGAGCCACCGGGCTCGGCAGCTTAGCGCTGTAGGCCTGCATGGAGGACTGGATCCTTCCCACTTCGTTGTTGGCCAGCTTGAGCCGGTGCCGGAGCAAGCAAGAGAAAAGGTCCAGCCGGGTTTTGCCAGGCGGCGAAAGCCGGTTCACCCGGTCCCTGAGCTCTAGGAGCTGTAACAGGGCCGAGTCCTGGGAGCCCTGGGTGTAGGGGTAATCCAGCTGCAGGATCAGATCCCGGATGGCGTCGGGATCGAAGGGCAAGCTGAAGCCGAAGACTTGCAAGCTGTTGATTTTCATGTAGCCCAGGTTCTTGGAGGGATCCGCCATCTCCAGGGGCTCGTAATAGACGGTCTCGTTGGAGCTGTCCTCCAGCGACTTGATCCGGCTCCGCAGGTAGACGTGCACCGTCTCGAAGAAAGTCTTCCACTTGTTCCCGAGGGTGAGCGTCCAATTTTGGCACTGGGCCGAGGCGTCCACGTTAGTCCTTTCCCAGTCCGGGAAGCCGCCCTCCTTCACGGGCATGAACCAACTCTCCGAGTGGCTGGGGCCACGTAGACGGCCATGACGGGCTCCAGCGTGCTGTTCTTGGTGAGGCATATCTGGAGGGAGAGGGCCAGCATGACGTGCACCAGCCCCGGCTTGTACTTGTTGCTCTTCAGGGTGAGCAGCATGCGCTTCCGCCAGGAGGGGTCGAACCAGCCCCCCAGGCGCATGTCGTTGCTGATGAAGATGGAGTGCACCTCCAGGCGGCTGTCCCGTTTCTGGAGGAGGTACTTCAGCTCCAGGTCCTGCAGGTCCGTCTCCAGGCCCAGGTAGTGCTCCAGGGAGTCGGCCACCTCCGGCCGGCACAGGCCCTGGCTCAGCACGTAGCCCGGGTTGCAGGCCCCGCAGCGGGTGCTGTTCTCCTCGGCGCAGGCGGCGCAGGCGGGCCCTTCGCCCAAGGCACACGGGATGGGCCCCTGGCAGGAGGCTGGCTCGGAGGGGCAGGTGCAGCTGTGGCTGTCTTCCAGGAAGGTCCCCGGAGGGCTGCTCTCACTGCAGTACAGGCAGGACTGGATGCGGCTCCACCAGTAGGGCAAAGCTCTAAAGCAGGAGGAAGCAAGGGAGAAAAGACGCCTTAGGGCCGGCATGGACGCGGGGGCGGAGTGGCGGCTGCCCCCCCGGGGTTATTTATGGTTTTGGGGA